ATGGGGAGTGGTACCATCTTCCTTTTCACCAGAGTGAAAAGGTCCCTGAACTAAAAACTATAGAGGCTCTAGCAATCTTACATGTGACTAGCATCCCTCTCTGCTCCCCTCCAGAGGATGTGTGTGGGTGATGATATGCATCTATCTAGCCACACTGGCCTGGTGTAAATATGTCAAAATTGACGGGCAGATGTACCCTTCTTAATTGTGGGATGCTGAGAGTAATTAACTGAGACCCTGCCAGTACTGCTCCATCGTTCTCCTTTCAAGCATGGAGGCGACCTTACAGCATCTTCTTCTCTGAAGTGGGGCGACTGGCTGCGTAGGGTTACCTCGCCTGTCCCCAGACCAGAGAAATGCATTCCGATCTATCATTCCAAATTACAATTACATTCTGCTATTACAATCTACTATTCTAATCTTATTATTCCACATAAGAAATAAAATGAAGAGGACGTATGGCCCTTCTGGGGGAAATAAGCTTTGACTCTCAAATGCTTACACCCTAGAATTGTTGTTGGTCTCTAAAAATGCTACTGGATACAAATCTAATTGGCATACCCAGTTATTTTAGTGGATAAAGGTAGTAGGTGTTGTAAAAGGTCTCCACCTGAGACTCTGGAGAGCTACGGCAGACAGAGAAAGGACTAAGGCCACTTCGTGTGCCACCATCATGTGATGGGGGTGTCCGTGCTCGAACATAGTGTGTGGGGGGGCAGGTTGCTCTCAGTGTTGATGAGAATGAAGCCAGCAGCTGCAAATCCAGGACTGGCTTAAGGGAATTTAGAGCATGGCCAGTATCTCTAACTGTGATACTGTATTAACATTCAGTTCTTTGACTGCAAAAGTCACTTTTCATTGATGTAACAGTCTTGGCAAGATCACACGATTGTCAAGACACACATGCCCAGACCAGCCTCCATTGCTGGAGGAGTGTGACGATGCTTTCCATCTTGCAACAGATCATGTCTGTTTTCTGTCACCCAAATATAAGCTTTGGTCCAACCATGTTTCTGCAGATGGAAGGATTTCTTCCCTCAGAGCACGATTTTCTGGCCTCCCACGGAAGAATCATTTCAGGGGGCATTTGGAGCTGTAGCAGGAAGAGGGAGGCGAGAGAATAACCCTCCCCCTGGCAGATGGAAACCCTTCCACCTACATAAACATTCTGCTGGATCCAAGCCAGTGACAGCATCCACCCATCGTTGCATAGAGCAACAATTCACAGCTAGACTGTCTTATCCAGACAGGAAAATCCAGTTGTGAAAGATGGCTAGAGCTCAGCAGAACAGCTCCCGGTGATGTATGCATGCATGCATGCAGTCAGTTCTCTTCCGGCTGAGCCATGTGGATTTCCAATGATTCACAGCTACTAGGTCAGAATCACGCTCATTTTATGGGCACTGAGATGCAGTTTGGGGATGCGTGTCCAGTAGAAGGGGTCTAACAACCCAGCTAGCCTCTCCACCTTCTCCAATAATGCCTTCCATCTTCCCACCGTCTATACATTCTCCAAAAGTTCTCAAGACAGGGTGTGGTGGAACATGCCTGCTCTGGCCTACAGGCCCTATTCCGCCCTGCCCTCCTAGGATTCCCAACTCCCTGGAGGGGGTTTTCTTTCTCGAGTAGGTGCCACAGTTTCCTCTAAGCTGTGCTAGGGGGCGCTGGCACACAACATTTCAGAGGGCTGCTCAGAGCATTTTAGTTTCAACTCACATTTCCCCCCTTCCATAGGAAACAATGGATAGGGGCACCTCCTTCTCAGGCCCATAGAATTGGACCCCCTGGTCCAATCTTTTTGACACTTGGGGTTTTTTTTGAAGAGAGGCACCAGCAGCAATGCTGCAAATTTGGTGTCACTACTTCAAAAAACAGGGCCCCCCAAGCCCCAGAAACCCCCAGATCAATTCTCCATTATAGCCTATGGGGCTCATTGACTATAATGGTTCCCATAGGTTACAATTGAGCCAGAATCACCAATTTTTTTTTGCACACCCATATTATGCTTTTCAGTATGATTTGTAAGCTGCCTTGAGTCACAGGGAAAAGTGGGATATACATATTTGAATAAATAAGTAGTTTGAGCAGTTTGATAACATTTGAGCAACTTCCTGTTTGTTAGGTTAGGCAGGGTTCTGACAGTGGTGGCTCCTCCTCTGTTATACTTGACCAGTAATGCTGGTTGTCATATTTCACTAAAAAACCCAAAGTAGACTGCAAGAGTTTTTTTCTCCCCTAAGTGCTTGCATATTTTGTAAAGGTCAACGCAAGGCAACTGTCCAAGCCCAGGTCTACCAATATAGTGGACTCGGGCAGATAGACCTGTTCTCCAGAGGCCAGGTCTACCAATATAGTGGAAAGGGGTAGATAGATCTGTTCTTCCCCTGTAGAGGACAACATTTTGTGTAATGAAATTTGACTTGATTCTGTTTTCTCTTCTAAATTCTTAAAACATCGTTTAAATATAATTTAAAAGAATTCATTCTGAGATTTTTACAATAATCTTCTAAAAATAATGTATGCAATAGTCAATGTAGATTCACTCACAACTTTAACTCTGCTAGCTTTAGTTGTTGTAGATTTTCTGGGCTGTATGGCCGTAGTCTTGGCATTGTAGTACCTGACATTTCGCCAGCAGCTGTGATTGGCATCCTCAGAGGTATAACACAGAAAGTCGGAATACAAGGTAGAATTTTTGCTCACAACACTGTGGAGCTTAGAGGGAGCATTGGTAGCCACTGCCACCACCTGCCCTTTTTCAAGGAACTGCCCACTGGGAAGGGCAGGACTCCCCGCTTCCCTTACACATTCAAGGGCCTTGCCTCTATGTCTCCTGCTGCCCAGCACCTGGCTACCACAGGGACAGTTTAATGCCTTGGGTGCCCCAGGATGAACTGGAGGCCCTTTTAAAATAGTGTGTCCAAAATGATGGAAGTCTATGTGGTACAGAGAACCATTCTCAGCATCAAAAGTTTAAAGTATTTATTAAAAAGAAAATGTTTACAAGCATACTTTTAGCACAACTCCAGAGTGAAGCAAGAAAAACAAAAGAAACTGGTAAAAACAAAAATGCTCTGTCCCTTTCTCTATATGTGCCCTATCAGCTGTTAAAATTTAGGAGACCCTTTAGCTTAGGTAGTTACAAATCCCTATGAAGTTACCTTTACCTTGAAGCTTCCTTCAGCTCTCCAGGCAAGCATATGGTCAAAATGGCTTACTGTTAGCAGCCCTCAGATAAGAGTTCTCATGAATGCAGCATCCCAAGGAAAGAGACCTCCCTCCTGTGGCAAGGAGTTTTTACCACCTGTCCCTATATTCCACCCCCTGCCCAGGTCAAAGAGGTGCTTCCTGTAGATCTCCAGGAATCCCTTTCCTGAAGATGCTTTAGAATTCTATTCCTCCAAACCTCGATTCCCTGCCTGAAAAGGGGAGGGGGGAGGGGAAGCGACCATTCCTTTGTCTAGACCCATTAGCATTTGTATGAAGGTAGGCTGAGGTACAAGCTGAGCAGACTTCCACTTCTGCCTAGAGGGGGAAAAAACCTGTTAAAATGCAAAGTGGAGGCTTTGCTGCTTGCCAGCTCCCAGGGAAAAAAAAATGAATTTCTTCACACAGGGACACAACCCTCTTCAGAAGGAAAAAGAGTAGGGATGGAAGTACCATACACCATACAAAATTACCCCCCCCCCCCTCACACACACAAAGTCGTCAGGTTCCATTAAATCTGGCATCATCTTGCAGTTGGGGAGGGGGTCTTCAATGTTGCACAGAACATACACTAGCCATAGCAGAGGCATGATATACAAACATCCAGGGGATAGCAATATTAAAAGCTTTTGAGTTTTGCTCAGTGACCTGTAGTTTGGGGATAAGGCTTTTTACCAACCTATCAATGAAGCTTTGTGGGATGCCAACCAGAGACCAGAAAGAATTCCATCAATAGTCACTAACCGTGGTGACTAAAGGGAACCTCCACATCCAGAGGCAGTAAATCTCTGAATACCAGTGCTTGAAATCAACATCAGGGGAAGGACTCAGCCTCTTATGCACTGTTGTTGGCCCTCTAGAGGAACTGATTGACCACTGTGCGAGACAGGATGCTGAACTAGATGGACCCCTGGTCTGATT